GCGTGTGATTTTCGGGCGGCGGGGGACGCCCGCTCGGAGTTAAATGCGGCGAGCGCGATTTGCCAAATGTCGCGAGCGGAAATCGACGCCGCTTGTCCGGCGGCGCGACGCTGGCCCTGCTGCAGCCGTCGGCTGGGAGGGGCAGGACGTGGCGTGTGGACCGGGTGTCCGGCACGGCGTACAGCGCGGCTAAATCACCGCCGGCCGGCGAGCGCCGGCAGCTCCCCTGCGCCGTTTCCCGCTCCCCCTCCCCTCCGGCGGGCGTCCGGTGGCGGCGGCGCGCGGGAAATTTTACAGCCGTCGCCGGCACGGGTATAATTAATTACACAAGCGGCGGTCGGACGGGCGAACTGAGGCGAAATCAATGAGCTCGGTCGGCGCTCGCCGCTGCCATGATAAGACGGCGCGCGGCGCCGCCGAAGGGAGGCGGAGGCCGCATTGACGCCGTCGTGCCGCGTCATAACGTGACTCGCGGTCGGCGCTGACGGTGGCGGACGGACATTTGTCGGGGGAACGGTCAAAAACGACTCTGCGCCGGCGGCGTCCCCGGCGGCGAGGCAGCCCGTGTTGGAGCGGGCGGGACGCCGCCGACAGGCGGGCGCGGGCGCGGCTGAGTCATGGTCGGACCGTTCAGCTGTCGGCCAAACGTCGCGACCGCCGACGCGTCGCGGAAGGGTCCTAAATTCGTCACTAATCGCCGTGGCTCGCGGCTGCGAATGATTTCGAATAATCTAGGCGGATAATTTTGAGAAGGCTGCTCGTCGATCGGAGCTGCCTTTAATGCCCTGATTGGGTCGTAAAGGAAAACTTAGGGCTATGCAGCTGCGAACGGCGCGCCGCCGAAATTCCATTATGCAAATCGTGGTGTTATTTATCTATCAGCGGCAGGTCGGCGCTGTGTGGCCTCCGGTTCTGACCCGGCCAGCGATGGAACAGTAAATCACGCAGCCGCGATGCGGAGGGATGGGCAGCCCCGCCCCCCCCCCCCCCTCCCCCCAGGCCGGAGGGGTCGGCGCGCCGCCGCCGACCGGCACGGGCAAAGCGTGCCGCCACTGGCTCCCCACGTCTGTAGGGGCGCGTAGATCGGGGCCGACATACCGCCGGCGCCAGCAGCAGGAAGGCCATGCGCCGGACGGCTGCACCAGTCGGCTGGCACCATTCCTTGGCGACTTCAAAAACTTCCGGCTGCTGCGAACAGCTGATTGCTGAATGACGCGTGGGTTGAATTTCCTGCGTTTTGAGTGGATGAAACCTCACATTGCTTGTTTGGTCTGATGCTGTTCACAGAGAGGCCGCCTCCTGACCTTTATCACGACCCCCCTCAATTGTCTATATCATAATTGACCAAACCTGCACACTCGTCGTTTGCATCTGGTCAAGGCCCCTTTATTTTTGTGATCGGGATCCAACGACCAGATTGTTAAGTGTCATTTTCTGGTATCTGTACTCCACAGCTATGTGGCCATAACTGACTGCGCTACAGCGGTGCACTGGGAAGACACCTGTAGCGTGGATCTTTTCGGCCCCACGTACCAGGATTCGTTTAATGTGTGAGCAGCCCTCCGCCCCTGGCACAAGCCGTGAAGGCGGCGCGTAAATCGGATGTTCTGCACGCATCACGGTCCGTTTGGAATCTTTGGAATACGGAAGGAAAATGCTTTCTCACCGGTCTGAGCGCGTGCTTGGTTTGCTGAGGCCATCACAAACAAAACAAACGAACTTGTACTCATGGCACAAACGAACGGATCCATGTCCGCAAACAAACATGTCCGTATCAAGGTTGGCAGCATTCAGCTAAAAGTCCCTTGTTAGTCGGTTCTCGTCGGCTAAAACCGGCTGGCAGAAACTCCTGGAGGAAAAAGCTGCGGAAATTCGCAAACTATGTGACCTCTGTGAAAGTGCTGCAGAACATGACCCAATGGAGCAAAGTTCAACAACAGGAGCGCACACGACGCTCGCAAAGCCTGGCCACGACGAAATGAGTCAGCAGTCGGCCGGGTCGCTGGGGTTGCCTGTCTTATGCAGTGGTATCGTTGGCAGCTTTCCACTGGCACTTCTCATGGTTGGCAATCAAGCTGTTCATACACACGGAGGAGGTAAGACCCCACAACTGGAAAAGTCACTTCTAGCCTTTTGATAGTGCTGGCGTCAGAGCGGTGGGCATGGGATGAGTTCATCGGCTGCAGAGCGGCCGGCAGTGGCGGGAGAGGCGGGGCAGGGCACGGGACGAGCCCATCGGCTGCAGAGCGGCCGGCAGTGGTGGGAGAGCGGGGCAGGGCGCGGGACGAGCCCGTCAGCTGCAGAGCGGCCGGCAGTGGTGGGAGAGCGGGGCAGGGCGCGGGACGAGCCCGTCAGCTGCAGAGCGGCCGGCAGTGGTGGGAGAGCGGGGCAGGGCAGCGGGACGAGCCCGTCAGCTGCAGAGCGGCCGGCAGTGGTGGGAGAGCGGGGCAGGGTCCGGGGGACGAGCCCGTCAGCTTGCAGTATGCGGCCCCCGGCAGTGGTGGGAGAGCGGGGGCATGGCTAAGCGGGACGATCCCGTCAGCTGCAATGAGCGGGCCGGCAGTGGTGGGAGAGCGGGGGCCAGGCGCGAACGGGGAGCCGGGCCATCAGTGCAGAGCAGGGCCGGCAGTGGTTGGGAGAGTGGGGCAGGGCGCGGGGGCGAGCGCGCTGCCGCACACGCGCAAGGCGCGGCCGGAGAGCCACCGCCATTGTGGAATGCAGGCCGCGGCTCCGCCACTTCGGAGCCGAC